AAAGGACCAAATCATCAGTATCGAGTGCAGGTGAGTACTTTCTAGTCGCATTGCGATTTCGCGCTATCGCAAGATACGGGGGCATTTTGGTGGCCACGCGTTCAAAATCGCTTGAAATACGTTTTTTCTTAGAAGCGGGACGAAGCCTTAGGCAGAGAGCATGCCCCCGGATATTTCGATAGCACTTCGATTTGTATAAGAAGACCATCGCATACTCTAGATTTCCTTTTACCTTTCGATAGAGAACGGACTCCAGGGTTTGTGGGAATACTCTTACCATTTTTCCGAGAAGTAGTCGCCCTTTCCTAGGTTTGCTATAAGAGAATGCCCCCGTATCTTGCGATAGCGCCCGATTTTTAGAGATGTAAAGGATTTTTCTTGAAATTTTCACTTTTTCAGATACCAAAACTTCCTACTGGAGTGGCTTATTTTGTCCGTATCAAAGTGCTCGGAGCTCATAACGAGATTCTGGTGGAGACAGCGGAGATCCGAGCCCGAAATGAGATCGTCTCGATCAAATGCGAAAGTGGTAAGTACCAGCTCCAATTTTTGGGTAGAATTCGGGGTGCAAAGGTTTCATGGTCTTGCCGATGAGTGCACGCAAGGGTTTTCTAGGTGCGAATCAAAGTTGAGTTAGTGCAGTGTTCGAGCACTTGGCGTTGTGTTGATTTTCTCCGATTTTCCCCCGTTTGAGAGCTTAACAAACATCGCTGCCATAGCATTGTTCCAGAAGAAACTACGGCTTCGATCACTCTCCGAAACACAATGTACTCACAGATTATTGCTGAGAGTTCAGGAATGCGCTTCGCAAGTTGTGGACTCAATTGGGTTCCCGATCAATTTCTTTCCCAAGCAAGCGCAAGAAAATGTCTTTGAAAATGGGGTGTTGTAAAGGAACCCTGAGCAGGGGTTAAGGAGAAATGCGGAAGGAAAATCAAGAACCCACTGAAAGTATAGGCGACCACCCAATACGCTCAATCAATTATTTTTCCTTTAACTCTCACGGCTGAGCTTGTCGTAATTGCGGACTCCACATCAGACGTGGCGACTGTCTCAAATAATCGATATTACATATGCTTTTCAATGCTATTTATGCTGTTGAATGCCACTTTGAAAGAAGTAGTAGATAAAAATGTGATGAAAAGAAATAATAGCAAAAAATTATAAGTAGAAACAAGAAAAGAAAAACTAACATAAAAGAAAAGAGTTCAATCTGAATTTTTGAAGTAGCCAATCAATCGAAGGCAAGCATAAGTCCGCAATTACGACGAGATCGGATGCGGGAAACAGGATGCCGTAGGCTGTCTTTCAGGGGTAGAGAAGAAAACTCTTTCGAATTCCACCTCTTTTTCGTGAGGAGCTACCGTCAAAAAAGGCGTTTCTCCAGGGCACATGTCCATCTAGAAATAAGAATTTCTCGAAAGCTTATTGAAAGTAAAAAAGTCGTCTATAAGGAGAAAAATTCGAAAAGATTACTCACACTTGCCCAGGAGAGACAAGCATGCAGCTCGAAGGAGGCTGACTTTTCAAAGATCAAAGCAAGTTCAGTGGACAATTGACCTACAGATGTCATAATTTCGCCTATTCGATCTTTCTTCACTTTTAGGATTTGTCGGTTACTCTCTCAGGATAAGAGCACAGATAGTCTTTTCCTTTTTCTGTCTGCATCACGTAATTATTTTCATCGCAGGGATTATACGACCACGCTTCTCTTCGAACTTTTCTATGGGAGACAACGACCTTTTTTTAATATGAACTTCGTCATGGAAATCTAGTCCAATACCAAGGGAAACTTGTTAATGTCGTTTTGAAAATCTGTTCTGAAATCGTCATTGAACTCGAATTATTTCTCACACCAAGCAATCAATTGAGGTGATAGCGCTACTCACTTGTCGTCACAGCGGTTTCGTCGCGAATTTCAATCGCAGTTCTTATCCTCTTTCGTTTTCATAAGAGATTGATTATTGCCTAAGCTGTTCTAAAACACAGTAAAAGGGTTGCCAGGCGTATCAGAGGGGTCACTCTAGCGCGTTGCGCCAGAATTACGGTACCGCAAAGAGTTTACTATATCATTTTCTAAGGCGTCCAAAGGCTTAGATCGTTTAAGGAGTGCGAAATTTCGCCTAACCACAAGCCTCGCTTGAGGGAGATCTTACGTTGTAAGCCACTCACTGTCTCACTGTCAGGCAGCAACGTTACATTAGGGTTTCAACCTATGAAGAAACATCAGTAGGCGCTGAGAGTGTGCTGACGAGCACACAATGACTGATCCTCCTAGACACCTGTCGAAATTATGTCCATCTATTTGACACAAAATTATACATAGAGAATGGCGATGTCCTGACCACGCTATGGGCACTAATCTAAGCAGTTGCGAAGTTTCTCTAGTGTGCCGATTTTGCTCCTATTGCTGTCGACCTTATCGTAGAAACAAAGAAGAATTTGTGGAGCGAAAGGGATCCTAAGCTTTTTTGTCGTTTTTGAATCTAGACCTGAAATTTCTCGCTGGCAGTGTTATAACCTACCCACCCCCCCCCCCCCCCCCCCCCCCCTCAGGAAAGCTTTGATCGGCGCTTCTCCTTTTCTCAGCTGCAGCGCCGGCTGAGGGGTCGAGACGGCTAGATTATTGAACACTGCATAAATGTTGAATCTTCATCGTAGGCGGCATATTGTGCGCATTCCTGTGAAGGCTATCTCTTAAATCACAGGCGCATATTTATGGCGCTACGCGAAAAGGGGTTAGCATTGATCATGCATCATGCAATCAAATTGGCGTGCAATTTTTTCGTTGATAAACGCTTAGTGCAGCTGGGAAGGCAAGGGGACGGCGAAAGAGCACTGAAAATTTCCTTTTGCCGATGTGCTGGTCTGGCCTGGCTTACTGTCTCATGTAGATGGAAAACCTGAAGTTCCACGCTTTCCAAGTGCTCTTTCCCCTCCCCCCCCCCTTGATGAAGCAGCAAGCCACATTTGAAGAATTTTTGAACAACATGAAAATGAACTGTTCAAGAGAATGTTACACTGAGACTCCCTCTCTCCCTTCCCCGTCTTGCGATACCGCCCATTTTCCATGAGGGATGCACGAAATCTTCTGGAAACCTGTGGACGAAGCGGTCAAGAGCTAACTTGGGGGACTGGGTATTTTTTTACAAGTCGCATAAATTTCGAAGAAAGCCGGCGAAAAGTTCGAGGACTGGCTCAGTGGGAAAACGGTAGTTTCGTAGGGTAGAAGCTCCACCTTTGGGCCTTTCTGAGGCACGGGGAGCACAGCAATAAAAAAATGGGGGTGTGGAAGTAGCAGAATTTGAAGAATGACGTCCGGGATACCGATAGGAACCTGTTTCCCACATTCCCACCAGTGGTCCCAACGCGTGCTATCTCTGCCTTCTCTGAATGATGATAAATCCAAAAGAGAGTGCGTAGCGATAATTGCCGCATCAAATCAATGTGTCTTCCATCAATATGGGCTGTAAAAAGGCTTAGGCATCTCGAAAGAGAACGTGAGCGACTTTTCATCACATAGGCGAATACCGTCGACGTTTCAGATGATCTGACAGCTCCTCGTCATCTGGAAATTACCCACGAAGGACAGTTTTCACTTGCTATCAAATGGGATGCGCCCGAATGTGGTTCCATTGGAGAATACCAGGTACTCGATAGGCATTCACCTAGAGCTAGACCTGTCTAAATCATCTCCTTAGGTGGAACTGATCGGTGAGGAGGTTCCGTTTGATGTGCATCGACAGACCGTCACACAACCACATGTCTCCGTTACCAACCTTCTGCCGGCAACCAACTATAATGTCAAGTTGGTGTCCCGTAACCCTCTTTGAACCCCTTCTGGGCCATTTCTCAGCCTTACTCCCCTTTAGGATTCGAGCCGTGGACCGACAACGTAGAATTGGCCCATGGAATTCCGACGTCATGCAGGCAAGGACCCAAGGCGAAAGTAAGTTCTACCGCTAGCGCTTATGAATCAACCCCGACATGTCTTTTGTCCTAGGCGTTCCCGTTTCGAGTGACATTCGCCTCGTGTACCGAACGGACACCGAACTTCACTTCTCGTGGGATCCGATCAGCGACGAACGGGCGCAGCACTATGAGGTAACCTGGGTCAAAGCCCTTTTAGTACCGCTAGCGCTCAAAGAATCCGTTCAGGTGACGGCTGTGGAACTGTTGCCGGAATCGCGACGTGTGGAGCGGGCTCGTGTTCCTCCGTACGTGTCCGGCCACACATTGGCAGGACTTCTGCCCAACACCAAGTACATTATCGGTGTCATCGCTTTCGTTGATCATGAACCCCAGTGGTAGCTCATCCAGCTCATGTGCGTCCAAAGACGGTCCGTCAAAAATTACCGCGTTTAGGTGTACATCTCAGCAGGCCGAAAACCTGACGGAGTATCCTTATGGAGAGCTGAGAGAAAAGACCGCAGGTGAGTCTCGGCATATTTTTGCTTGAAGAAACACTTCTATGCTTGACTAGATCCCGGTTATTGTCACCAAGTGAATGCAAGGTATGATAATGTCCAAGTGGTCGAGGAATGAAGAAATCAAGAATATTGCTGAATAACGTAGAGGCACATAGTGCGCTGCTTTGACGTGGGGCGGGTTTGCACATCGCTCGTTCGGGAGTATCGTCGGTTGACTCCACATCTTTGTGTTTTGCAATATTTCGGCGGACCAAGGGGAAGGCGGCACAACCATCTGAGGATTTCGCAAAAGATGGGATGAAACGCCCGCCCATCGCATATGTCGGTCAATGTTTACATCAAGCGTTATTCCGCAGGCGGTTTGTTTGCTTTCCCTCCATGCAATAGTATGCGAATGTATAATCCATCCGTTCATTTTCAAAAACCATAACCCCCCATGTTTGATCGCGGAATGCTGCCTTTAAGTCACAGATGTTTGAAAGTATTAAAACTGATGCGGTTGTCGATGCGAGGTGGATCTTCTCTGTGCATTGGCATCGACCGTCGATGGCATAAGCCTCGTTTACAAATTCGTTGTTCGAATACAGGCTGCCCGACGAAGACCTTCTGGAGGACTAGGACGAAAGCGTGTGCGTTGCTATTTCTCAGGATGTTCCACATTACTCTAGAATTGCATAACTTCTCCGGGAAAGTGAAGAAGGCGCCGAACCTAATACCGTACTTTCCGGTCATACCTGGCACTCGATATTCACAGTTCGTCTAATGGCGCGTGGCAGTGACAACCGCATGGTTATCGGAAGGACCGAAGAGGTCACCATGGCGAAGCGGCTGCCAGCGCGTGCGTCGGTGCAGCAGGGATTCCGAGGAGGTCAGTTCTGTCATTCTGTGAACGTAAGCGAGATTCATATGGTGTTTCCAGATCATTGTTGATTGGCCAGCCAATCCGTGCTGCGATTCCCAGGATGGGCTAAGCCGAACGGTGATGAGAGCGTTGCCCCCATCGATGGATACGAATATCTTGTGAGTGACGATACAACAAATCCTTCTACCCTTTATGGGTACAATTTAACCCTACCCATTGCAGATCCACCAATCTGACCAACAGACGCCTCATAGCGGTGCCTCGTACATCGGTGGCACCTCAGTGGCGATCCCTGACCTGCGCCCTTCGACTAGATATTCGTTCCGGGTTCGATCTCGAAACGCGAACGGGCATTCTCCTTGGAGCGCTGTTATCGACGTGGCTACCACTCCTGAAGGCTCGCTGAGTGGTTCGTTTCTTAAGAGATATTCGCTAATGCCTTAAAGACGGCCAATTAACCACTAACCATTTTTGGTTTTCTGATTTCACACTAATCATCATCGCAGATTTGAAACCCCTAACTCTGACTAACATCCGAGTGTTGGGACGTCGAAAACGCCAAGCGAAACACTCGATAACAGGTAGTGCTTTCTATTCTGTTCAACTTGGTTCCACATTGTCTCCGCAAAAGCGGGTCAATCCGTTCCAGACGAGACCAATCACCTGAAACTTCGTGTTGTACTGTCCCCACCGGACGTCTATCTTGTCTGGACACCGCTTCCGCACCACACTAACCATATCTCTTCGTTCAAGTACGTCTTTGCGTTGATTTTCCACCTGAGACCCATCTGATAGGCCGCCGCCATTTGTGGACAACTAACAGCGCCGTTCAGCGTTACAGAGTCGCGTACAAAGAACGAGGCTCTTCTCGATGGACCCGAGTCTACGGTTGTCCGCAGAACTTCCGTTGTCCAGCAGGTCTCGTCGATCCGGGCGACTTCTGCTACCGCCTTCAAAACCTCTTCTTCGGCGTACACTACATCAGCCGAGTACTGCTCACCAGTTTTACGCACTACTGCTATCACTAATTCTGCGTTTTAGGTATCGTATAATCTGACCAACGGAGTTGTTCATGATCCCGGAAGCACGATTCATTTCTCACTTATGCGTCTAGGTATACTAACACTATGCACGTTTACAGCTTTACTTGCATCCTATCTATGTGGCTACTTTGCTTGAAAATGGAATAATGTGTGGAAGCGGACCACCAGGGAAGGCAAAAGCAAAAGGACCATCAAAGGGCACAAAATTAAAAGCTCCCTCTGCGGTGA